AACCCACCGGTACAACATTCAAGGGAACTCGATGCCAGCTCTATTGAAACACGACCACTATCGCTACCTTGGTGTGCCGATCGGCATGCTCCGAGACGTAAACTCCATCGATACCATCGTAGGACAAATCTGTACCGACTTAGATCGCATTCAAAAATCTCTACTTGCACCATGGCAAAAGTTAGATATGATTCGTACGTTTATTCAACCTGCTCTCACCTTCGCCCTCCGTGCGGGTGAACCGAACAAATCTGCACTAGCCGACTATCGGAGAAAACTTATTGAAACCATAAGGAACATTTGCCATCTCCCGCAACGAGCTACATCACACGAGCTACATTTGCTTCCAAGTCAGTCGGTGGCCTTGGTTTCCAAGATCCAAGAACAGAGGCAGACGTCCAGACAATAGTCCAAGCCATGAAAATGCTTGCCTCCGACGATAAATTCGTGTCTGGTGTAGCCAGAGGAGAACTCGCCGAACTGTCGCTTTTGCCGCCCAGACGAACCCGTCTCCTTCATTAACATAAGACTTCTTATCGGGTTCAATGACAGGGAATTTTCACCGGATAAAATCAGGTATAGAACACACTCGCTATGGACAAGGACACGATCTGCATGCAGGAGACTAAATGTCACCTTTAAAGTACCTCCTGCAGGCCCGCCGACTATATCCATCAACGGCAAAGGTCCCTGTCCAGCAAAAGCCGCTTCTTCTTTCCTTCACAGAGCCTACAAGATGCCGAAGCTACGGAGGTAACTACTTTACCTGACCAAGGCAAAGTTGCTCGATCAATGATCCAAGATCCACACGCCAACAACTCATCGTGGCATTACACGGATTAAATTTGCGTTTCCGTGACTGGAGATTCATTCACCGTGCAAGACTCAACGTCGTTCCAACAAACCAAAATAAAGCTCGTTGGTCTGACTGTTGTCCTTCTTGCCGTGTATGTAAGGACCAGGCGGAAACCTACCATGTCCTCTGTCACTGCGATGCCAACATGGTCGACATTAGAAAGCGACACAACAAGCTAGTTGATAGACTCGCTAACTCGATAAGATATGGCGAAGTAGAACTTGACAAAACTATCTCCGGTCTAGAGAGCCAATGTCGCCCAGATATTGTCATAACGGAAGACAACAAGGTAACAATTATAGACGTTACCTGCCCATTTGAAAACGGTGAAGACGCTCTCGTAAACGCTGAGCACGATAAACTTCAAAATACCAAAATGTCGTTCACTACTACCGTCAGAAAGGCTCCCAATGCGATCTATTTGCCTTCGTTGTCGGTGCACTCGGAACTTGGCATCCTAACAACGAAAAAGTCATGAAAGCTCTACGGATGTCAAAATCCTACAAATCCCTGTTCAGGAAGCTTTGTTGTACGGACGCTATTCAGGGATCCGCGGACATTTATTACAAACATATTGGCAGCTCGTCTCCATGGTGAGACGAAACTACAAACTCTTTTAAAAGACAAATAATAAACTGTTAATATATATATATATATACATTTGTAAATAGTCAAAACATCGCTAACCCTATACCAACCCCCAGTGCGTAAAAGTCACATCCTACTAATTTCATCCCTACCCCCCTAATGTAACTAGCTCATGCCCCACAACCTACCCGTTACTTACCTCATCCCATCCATGATTACTTACCTTACTTCTCTGCACCTGCTTTATTTCTTTCACTCTTACCAAGTTTATTAACTTCGTTATCATTATATATTTACGCATGATCAGTTCTGTATATAACTTGCTTTAATAGTAACAACTAATACTTTGTAAATAATTATCTGCTTTTCATGAATAAATTTTAACGATCTGTTCTTATCAGCTTAATATCTGATATGTCGGGCAATGCCCGACTCTTATATTAAACTGATTTTTGGATATCGGCCATGGGATTGGAGCTTGCTTCGCCCTGGCCACGGGTTGTCTCGGTATTGCACTACCTCCGAGTTCGGCCCATTTCCCTTCGCGGAAGGGAAACACATTTACTTTAAACAAAAGAAAAAAAAAACAAACAAAACAGCCAGCAAATCAAATAGCTAAGCGAATTTATTTTGTCTGTAACTAACTAACCGAGAAACGAACTGTTTAACATTTAACTAAATAACATACGTCTCTTTTCGACAGAGTCGGCGAAAGACGAAAAGACGTCGTCGTCGTCGGAAAGGAAGACAATAAAGGCCGTCAGACGGTAAGTTGCAAGTGCAAAAAGTAGTGAAAAGTAAAGGGAGGGTGCAACCGTGTCGCACCGAGCGTACGTTCGCGTACAAAGTATGCTCGCCGTGCGTCGTTCGAGCATACTTACCTGACGCGAGAGGCACCTTGATCAGCTAGGAGGTCCTCTCAGGATGAGGCCCTTTCATTGCACTTCGACTGGGTTGACTCCTGCGATTACCCTAACGTGGGTAACTCGAGCGTATAATTTCTGGTAGTGGGGACCTGCGTTCGCGCTCGTCCCCTTCGTTTCTCACGATGGGAGGAAGAAGCGGAGAAAAGAACAAATAAAATAGAACACAATAGAGAGAAGAGGGCCTTTCGTCCGTCAATTGTGTATGCCACGCTTTGGGACATATATAAATTCGTTGTTCGTTCGGGGTTAGGTTGCATGCTGCCAAATTTTTTACTGACCTATCCCAAAATGCATAGCGAGATGCAGGAGAAATTTATATCAGCTATTAGCAAGAATAAATTACTTGTATTTGACATAAATTACTTGTACTTAACAACGACGTAAACGGCCGGCGTGTGTGTATATTTTGACGGACGGCATATACATTATGAAAGTATACAAATTATAATATGTATCGTCGACGTTAACAGTAATGATATTGCATTGCGAACGTTTTTCTTACTTAGTCGTACGTTTGTTTAGCTTTTTATAGTAATTATTTCTATGTATCACTGACATTTAACGGCTCGTAGTGTAAAATTCGTTCATTGAGCTGCTTGTCTGCCGATTTCATGAAGCATGACCTTGTTGACATTGCAGCACTTGCATACAATGCGAATCATTATCGCCCACAAGCACAAAGCGTTTGTTTTACAATGAGAAAGCACGTCTGCAGCAAGTTCGCGACAGACATCGCGTGCTTCCTACGTCATATGAAACGATCGCATTTCGCGGCATTACGCGCGAATTTTCAAACATGTTCTTCTTTACGAACAGGTGTACATTGGATTAGAAAGAACGCTTGACATGACGATTGTAGTAAAGGATGATTCCTTCGTTATCCGTACTGGTTGATTTTTTTCATTTGTTGCATGATTTCTACGCGAAAAGATACAATAGAACCGTGTGTTTCTCATGCAACTTGTAGAGTGAAAAAATGGCGAAAGCTCTTCTTCTGCATCGCTTCTCGGCCTTTTGGCTAAGATCAAGTGTAGTAGCAGTACGCCCGGTACGCACAATTTTTCGCTCTCCGTTTTTTGAAAATTTTTGTTGTTAAACTCTACATTTTCGTTTAAATTTTGGTATAAAAATATAGACAAAGTTGATATCTTTTCTGCTATAATATTCATTTTTCCTCTGGATAACGTATTATCGAAGAATTTTTGGTTTTTTATCCTGAAGTTTGGAGTGACAGCACATTTTAATTTATTCTATCAACGGGAATTACTACGTTCAATGTTTGGAGTTATTCTAAAGTTTCACCGCTTGGAATTTATATAAGAAGATCCCTTGGCATTTTCTCAGCATTTCTGGAAAGTTTGGTAACTATATGTACTATACTTTTGGAGAATCTTTGAAATACTATTCCTTGCGTGAGCTCGGTGTCCTAACGTCGGAGTATATAACAGCGACGATTATAAACGGAGGCGCCGTTTTTTCTATGATCTATTTGAATTTCTACAAGTCTTTCATCATCTACTGGTCTAAAATTACCTTATTTAAGTCCAAGTTCTTCTTCCAAGTATATATACGAAGAAATATCATCGTCTTACCGTGGAGTTTAAAATAAAAGCCCGTTGCAACTTGTATATCGGTTGCTACGGTTACGAATTTTAAAATCCGAAAATTTGCATATATCGATGCGATCACAATCTGGGAATTCCCCATCTTATCCTACATCATTATACTGGTTTATCTCCGCTAATATCGTTTTTCTAATCGCGAATATGTGTAGCCACCTCGATAACAACTTTCAATGCAATCAGTGTGAATTTACCACAACTGATCAACATGGATTGGGTGTCCACATTGCAAAAAAACATGAGCCTATTATTCCATCGGATTGCAAGTCCGTTACGATCGTCAGAACCTTCCCTGAAGGAAAACAATTTCACTGCTGCCTGTGTGACACTCTCATAGGTTCCTATAATAATCTTTCTCGTCATTTTAAATCAAAACATGCACACATCAACATCGACGTCTCTGCAATGTGCATCATATGCAATAAATACTTCCCTACAGCAAAAGGTGCTGGTGTCCATTGTAAGAGAGAACACAACATAGGTTCCAAAGACAAATACCCCAACACACCCACACCTGTCTACTCATACGTAAACCAAAGGACAAAACACCATAAAACAATAACCACTTCAAAACAGTTCAAGCCTAAATCACAACCAATCACTGATTCATCTCCCATATACATGAATTCACCCACCCTTTCATCTCTCAACAATAATACACTTAACCATAGCCTCATTACTACAGACATGTTAACTGACATTACCAATTTACCACATTCTCAACCACCACTAACACAGCCCCACCCCAACCCAGACAACACCCAAGCATCACACCCACACAGGAAAACACATCCCATCATCACACTAACACCACACATCAACATCCCACTTACCCTCACAAACACAACCAAACCATATAAATCACCAGTTATACCACTTCTCACTTCACCACAAACAACACCAAAACTTACTAGAACACCCTCGCCTCCCTTTCAACCCCTGGACCTTCCATTTCACAATAGTGTACTCGAGCCTAGATCTCAATCAAACTGCCAAACACAACTACACTTCACCCCAACTCACAACACACCAGAACCTTCATTATTAGACCTTCCTCATGCCCCATCTGATGACAATATACCTTCTATTACCGAAAGGCATTCATCAAACCCCCAACAACCACATTATCCATCCATCTCAACCACAACTGACAACACATCTCATTGTGACACCTGCTCAAACGACTCTCAAGCAACGGAATCCTCATCTGCCTTCCACAATAAATGGCTCTATCACTTCTCCTCTACCACAACCTGGGAGGAATTCTCCCTCCTAATCAATAAATTCACTGAGGAAATCATTACCATCGCCATACCTAATAACACCAAGAGAAAGGCCCCAAAGCCGCCAAATCGTCCGTCTGCCAAGAGAGTAAACATCAACAGAAGAGCACTTGCATTCGATCCATTCAAAGCACGCAAAATTCAAACGATGTATAAACTATCGAAGAAGAAAGCTGCCCGATCTATTCTCGATAATACAAAACCCACATATTCTGGCACCGTTACTGAGGCTGAACACTTCTTCACTGAAGTATTTGACGATAAATCTTGCGATACTGATGCTCTATCTAATCTCCTACTTGAGTTTGTCCCCCAAGTAGAATGTGGCCATAACCTTGACTCGCTTATATCCCCCGATGAGATAGCGAAAAAACTCAAGACCATGTCTAACTCTTCCCCGGGCTCAGACAAAATACAGTACAGACACCTGAGGACAATAGATCCCAAGGGAGAGATCCTCGCTAAAATCTTCAACCGCTGTCTTACTGATCGCAACATCCCTGATCAATGGAAGAAGTCCAATACAATACTAATCCACAAAAAGGGTGATGCCAGTTGTGTCTCTAACTTCCGCCCCATTGCTCTGATGAGCTGCGTCTACAAACTGCTCACGAGTATAATTGCATCTAGACTGGTCTCCTTCTCCATAGACAACGGCCTCCTATCCGACTCTCAAAAAAGTGCAAGACCAAATGAAGGTTGCTATGAACACACATTCATCCTTCAATCTCTCATTCTTGACGCAAAACGGCACCAGAAGAACATCTACCTGGCTTGGCTTGACCTCAAGAACGCTTTTGGAAGTGTACCTCACAACGTAATCTCTACAACCCTAAATCATCTTGGCGTTCCTACCTCACTTGTGGAGCTTATTATAAGTATTTATAGTGACGCCACAACTACAATCATCACGTCTAATGGGAACACAAAGCCTATCCCGATCCTCGCTGGAGTCAAACAAGGTTGTCCCCTCTCGCCGATCTTATTCAATCTCTGCATCGAACTAATCCTTCGAGGTATTAATTCCAAAAACAAACAAATTGGTCCATTAAAACACCACGCTTGTGAAATCTCGGTTCTGGCTTATGCGGACGACCTCGTTGTCATAGCCAAGAACGAAAATCAACTCCAGTCTCTCCTAAACATTGCATCAGACTTAACCTCTACAATTGGGCTGGAGTTTAGACCAGACAAATGCGCGTCACTATCCATTACTTATAGTAAGAGAATTAACGGTAATATTCAGCCTGCTAGATTCACTATCCAAAATAAGCAAATCCCACATCTGGCTGAAGAAGACCACTATAAATATCTCGGCATTCCAATCGGTCTAATCAGAGATTTCTCTTCAATCCAGGACCTTACTGACAATCTCTGCCGCGACCTTGAAAGTATCAGCACTTCTCTTCTTGCTCCATGGCAAAAGCTGGACATGATTAAAACATTTATCCAACCATGTCTAACTTATGCCCTACGCGCTGGAGAACCAAAGAAAGCATCTGTAACTAACTACCGCAGGAAACTAATTGAAGTTGTCAGAACAATATGTAACCTCCCCATTAGAGCCACCACACACTACATCTTCGCTTCAATAAAATCAGGGGGTCTCGGCCTCCAAGACCCAGCGGCCGAAGTTGATGTCCAGACTATCGTCCAAGGAATAAAAATGCTCAGCTCTTCTGACAAAACTGTCGCCACTATCGCGAAGCAAGAACTATTACGTACAGTCAGTTTTGCCAGTAGATCAGATCCCTCGCCTGCCCTAATCAAAGATTTTCTGTCAGGGTCCACAACTGGTTGCTTCCACAAGGACGTCATCCGCTACCGCACACACTCTCTGTGGACTAGAGCCCGAAACGCATGCAGGAATCTTAAAATAACTTTCGCTGTACCGACCAACGACCATCCTGCCATCTTTTCAGCCAACAAAGGCCCTTGTACAGCCAAAGCCGCCTCTGCATTTTTACACCAGCATGTACAAAACATTGCAAGTACCAAACTGTTGAACCTCCTTGACCAAGGCAAGGTAGCCTCCACGCTCAACAGAGACAGCTTTGGCAACGGCTCTAAATTCCTCAACAGTGGCCTAAATATGAGATTCAGTGACTGGAGGTTCATCCATAAAGCAAGATTAAACGTGGTGCCAGTTAATCAAAACAAATCAAAATGGAACAACACGTCAGCATCGTGCCGTAAATGCCATGACACCTCCGAAACCTTACCTCATATACTTAATCACTGCAAAACGAACATGGTCAACATTCGCAAAAGACATGACAAAATCGTCGATAGACTGGTTAATGCTACAAGATCCGGAACAGTCAAAGTCGACCAACAAGTAGACGGCATAGACGATGAGTGCAGACCAGACATAGTAATTGAAGACGGTAACAATGTCACCATCATCGACGTAACTTGCCCTTTTGAGAACGGTCCCGATGCGCTGTCAACAGCTGACTTCAACAAGATTACAAAATACGATCATGTCATGCGCTACTTCCAATCGACTGGTAAATCCTGTAGCGTTCATGGCTTTGTTATTGGCTCTCTTGGTGCTTGGCATCCTAACAACGAAACTGTCCTATCTAAATTAAACATGTCCAACAAATACAAGTCCCTATTTCGAAAACTATGCTGCACTGATGTCATCCGTGGCTCAGCGGACATATATTACGAGCATGTGAAGTATAGTCTCACCTAAACTCTTCTCTAATTTCTATTAACCTTTTCCTATTATCAATCTATATTTTATTCTAACGTACCCTTTCTTTTTTTTACATTTATACAATATTTGCATTTCTATGTACAATATTTACAATAGCCTTAAATACCTATGTTATTAGCGTTACTCTATTCCATAATGTATATATCTATATTCTGTGTAAAACTTTCTAATGTAATAAAAGTCAATTCTGTTCTTATCAGCTTAATTGGCCGTGCTATACTTGATCGGTTTTCGTTGATTGGTTCGTTGGAAAGTTAATTGGATCGCTAATTGGATCGCTAATTGGATCGCGCTTATCAAGGTTAGTTGACTTTGAATTTGAATTTGGATTTGCTCACGTCACTGGATTATATCGGAATTGGAATCGGAACTGGAATTGGACTTGAATTGGAAGACCCTTTGGTACCATCGTACTTGGACTCATTTACGAAGCGATACAGAATTTGAACTTTCGGCCGGCGTTTCCCTACATCGTTCGGTTCGGACCGTTTATCGCTTCTAGCCACGTAATTTTTCCTGCAGTTGATCCTCGTATTGCTACGAACACTGTGTGCGATTCTCTACTCACATATATTGCTAGAAAACCGACATTGCGAAGACGTACTTTCATAAGCGAGTTGCTCGAGATTCCGTCACGACCCCATTACGCGCTTGGACGATCGTTCTCTCAAACACCGCATCGAATTTGCGCTAGCACCGGCAATACAGCATTACAACCAGAATTTTGCACGAATTCGACAATAAATTCGTGAGAAACCTTATCAAGTTTTAAACCGACCGTTGGCTGTTTTTCGGTTGCCTAGCTACGATTTTAAATTCGTCTTTACTTTTTTAAAGAGTCCATTATATTTGAACTTTTTATCTATCGCTGGAGAGATATCGTTGTTCTACCCGAGCACACTCAGTTTTATAACATTCGCTTTACCATTTGGCGAGATTCAACCGAAGTTTGAAAAAGCGACCGTTGGCTGTTTTTAGGTTGCTACGTTACGTATTTAAATTCCTACTACATCGACCTGCCTGCTCAATTGACCGAGCAATTATCGCGTGACCCTATACCGTCACATAATACGGAACTTTCTCGTCGCTAACTCAGCGATCTGCCGCATTTTTCACCAGACTTTCTCGGATAGTTGGTGCTGCTACTATTTCACGGCGATTGTCACGAGGGACAAACATTTTAACCGCCTCTTTACTCATTTCGGGATATATAGTCTCTACACAAACGCGATTATATATTCCCGACCGACTGTTTGTTTACATTTGCATCGACCATCTTCGCCGCTGTTTTCTCGCCGTGCAGTGATCTTATTCGCCCAACTATAACATATAATTGTTCCTGCACGTACACTCCGCAATATCTATCGACCATTTGTCATTACATCGGTGACAACCGTCGATATTTTGCGATTGTTATCCTAGACTTTCCCGAGCATATTCTTGTTCGGCGAGTCAAGCGTATCGCGTGCCCATCGAAAGTTACTCGCTCGCTAGTGTTTGGAAAGCACTTTTTACACGGCCCGACATTTTGTAGCTCCTCTCCGTGGCCCACGCGAGTTATTACAGTATTCCTGGGTTCATTTTTCAATCGATTGCGGCCGTTTCAGCACTGCCAGGAGTCCTACATCGCTGTACATGCCGTACACGGGCCGATATTTGACACCGTACTTAATTAAGCCAAATTCTAACTTTTTCGACGTGTGCCGTTCATTTTCGCGCGTTTTCCCGCCACATACCGCTAACAACGCGTAACCTGGCCTCTATTTCTCGAACTTTGTTGTATTTCTGTTGTTCCTATTGCTTACGTGGCTATAAGATCGTGTCACGTCTGTTTGGCGGTATACGATATCTCAACTTGACTTTTTTGCAATGAGGTGCGTCTATTGCAAGCAATATTTCCGCACCCGTCACGCTTTAAGCAGTCATTGGAACTGCACGCATCATGGTCGGCTTAAAGGTGACGGATCTCCTCCTGAGAAGTGCACAGTGACATTTAACACGGACCGCTCGGCTCAAGACCTTCACTGCCCACATAAAGGCTGTAAATTTCAGAGCCGACGCGTCGATACCGTGAAACACCTATCGAAACACTTTTCCAGGTGTCACAAGCGCGAGGAACTCGTCGTGCAGTACTTTTGTGGCACTTGTGGCGTCTATTTGGACCCCGCCGAACGCCAATCCCATCGGGCAGCGCATTCCACAGCCTCCCAGTCTGGCACGCAGTTCAGTCCGCCCACACCAGTGATCGATCCCGCCACTGCTGAACTGACACTCGTCCCGGGCCATCACCAACCCGCATCATCGTCATCGCTATCACCAATGAAGCTCGACATCAGGCTACTATCCCCACAGGAATCGTTCCGCCTCACTTCACCCAAGAAGGCCTCCATACCTATGGCGAAACGACACATCCATCACTCACCACTGGATCCACTGGCTGCCCCGTTCAGGCCGTCATCACCACCTACACAACCATCTGTACCAAGTCCCCCACAGCTATCGTTTTCATCACCTGGTTGGTTTCCAGCTTCACAAGACGATAGACTTTCTCTACATGGAGGATCCTCGCCAGATCATCCCAGAGATTCTCCTGACACCGTTCACCAGCCATCACCTCTCGCTCCATCTCACTCCACGGGACACACCACCTCATCCCACCTCCTTCCACAACATCTTCTGATTCTCACCGCTTGTCCATTTCACCTGGCTCCACACCGGACCCATCCCCCCCACTGGATTCTCCACCACCACCTTCCTCCTCCTGTACTTTCACCATCCCTGGTCAAACTCCACCATATCCCCATCCTGCACAGGATTTGACCACACATTTCTCAATCCTCCACCGCTGCCACACTGTCTCCTCCACCACCAACTCCGCCTCCCCCCTCCCCACAATCCACCCGCCATGACATCATCGACAGCATCCACACACAACTTTCCCGCCTGCGACAACTCACCCACGAGGACAGCGTGCCTCCATCACCTCCGTCACCTTCATCATCATCATCACCCTCCTCTGTGTCCGAGCCATCGTCAACAGACATGCAGCCAGCCATCACTGCCTTTTCACGTCTGCTGGAGATGTCTGAACGCCCCAAACCCTCCAACAGCTCATCATCCACAGTCACAGAGGACCGTGAATCCGTCAGGGTAGCTCCACCACCACCATTAAGTCAGCAAACACAACCGTTCCACCGCCGCAACCGCCACTCTTCCTCTTCTAAGATACCACAGCTCACCCCTATCCTCCAAGCATATCGTCATCAGCAGGGTGGAGCCGCCCACAGACCACAGCACCCACCACCACAACACCACGCTGAACAGTCTCTAGCTGCCTCAGACCATGCAGACTGGGACTCTGCCGACGACTTCGCCAGTCCTCCATTGTACCCCAGGCCTGTATCCCGCCATTCCGACACACCACCGCCGCTGCACACACCTCCTGGGTTGACTGACCAAGTGGATGAAACCATCAACGAGATCCCTTCGCACCAACCTCGTCCTCATCGGGAACCCGACCACCTACCACCAGGGAAGGCAATCACAATGCCCCCCCGTCGGACGATGAGGATGGTGTGGATGGATTCTTCAATGATGAGGAACAACCTCCCACATCTGCCGACCAAGCTGCCCTTCTGCTCTTCCGTGAAAAGTGGAAGGGAACTTTCTCTGAAGACTCTACCTGGGAGGAATTCACCACACACTGCACCACCTTCGCCACTGCCGCACGAGAACTGGCCATTAGCTTGAAGAAATCACACACCTCACGCACGCCCAAACCGTCATCTCAGTCACGCCCACCAACCTCACGCCGCCCGCCGCAAGGTAGACCCATCCCCAGATTCGACCCCACCGAAGCCCGTCGCCTGCAAGGCCTGTATTATCACTCCAAGAGACGGGCTGCACGGAAGATTCTGGGGAACAACAACACTATCTTCACGGGCTCCATCGACGACACCGAACAATACTTCACCACCTCCCTTGCAGAAAAATTCACAAACACATCCATTCTGCAGGAGCAACTAGATCAATTCACTCCCACTGCCCGTGAAGAACCCACCACCGAACTCTTGTACGACGAACTGCGACAGTCCGAGATAGCTGCCAAACTAGGCTCCGCCGCCAACACCGCACCGAATTCAGACAGATGCGAGTATGCTCACCTTAAAAAGGTCGACCCCACCGCTGCCATCCTGTCCCTGATCTTCAACCGATGCCATGTGGAGAAGGACGTTCCACAACCGTGGAAAGACGCAGTGACGATCCTGATTTACAAGAAAGGGGACACGGATGACATCTCCAACTTCCGCCCAATAGCGCTCATGTCGACCATGTATAAACTGTTTATGGGCGTACTCGCAAAACGTCTGACCAAGTGGAGCATCTACAACGGCATACTATCGGATGAGCAGAAAAGCGCGCGGCCCTCGGAAGGATGCTACGAGCACACCTTTTTGCTGAAATCAATCGTAGCAGACTCTCGACGCCGCAAGCAAAAGCTGTGCATGGCCTGGCTGGATATCCGCAATGCCTTTGGCAGCATCTCACACGACGTCATACGCTCTTCGCTCCAGCACATTGGTGTCCCGGCGGACATGATTCAGCTCATCGGCAACGCGTACTCTGGTGCCTCAACAACTATAAAAACACCTGCAGGCAGCACTGCTTCTATCCCAATTCGTGCTGGGGTGAAGCAGGGCTGTCCCCTGAGCCCTATCATATTCAATCTATGCATGGAGTTGATTCTGCGCATGGTCAAATCTAAAGCCAGTCAACTCCGCTCGGGGGTGTGCAAGTTTCAGAGTCGCACCGTCTCGTGTCTAGCCTACGCCGATGATTTGGTCCTGCTGGCCCGCTCTCCAGATGCTCTCCAACAACTTCTCGATCGTGCCTCGGACGCCGCCTCGGTGCTCGGATTCGAATTTCGGCCTGACAAATGTGCAACCCTATTTCTCACCACCGAAGGCAAACGCCACCTCTGGACAGACCGCCACGACTTCATTCTTCAGGGTGACCACTTGCCGGCCCTTGAGAACGAACAGTCATACCGGTACCTAGGAGTACCAATTGGGGTCATCCACAACATCGATGACATCCCGACCATCATCCCGCGTCTGATCCACGATCTCCACTCCATCAACTCTTCTCTTCTCGCTCCGTGGCAGAAACTGGATGCGATCCGCACCTTCATTCAACCCTGCCTCACATACGCTCTTCGTGCTGGCGATCCGCTGAAGAAGTCGCTCAGTGAATACCGCTCCCTCCTCGTCAGGGTCCTACGCGAAATCTGCAACCTGCCAACCAGAGCCACTCAGAGCTATTTCTTTGCGGCGAAAAAGGCCGGTGGCCTGGGATTTCAGGATCCTCTCGTGGAGTGTGACATGCAGGCGATCGTCCAGGCAGTCCGTGTGCTTTCCTCCAATGATGACAACGTCACCACCATCGCCAAGGAAGATCTTCGTGCCTTTGTCCGTCAGACAGCCCAATCCAACACGACTGCTGACTTGATCTCGAAATACCTCTCTGCTAAAGACGATCCCAGACTGCGAACACTTCACTACTCTTCCCACTCGTCGCTGTGGTCGAGAGTCAGAAAAGCCTGTCGCCGCCAGAACATCGCCATACGCTTTTCTGATACCGAGCCTCCCACCATTTCTGCGGACGAGTCTGACGCAGTTAAGTCCAACCAGGTATCGTCTTTTCTACACCGTTTGGCCCAACAACGGTATGCGGACTCGCTGGCTGCTCTTCCTGACCAAGGGAAGGTGGCTCGTTGCCTGGCTGAGGACATCTACGCCAATGGCTCGAGCTGGCACATGAATGGACTCAACATTCGCTTTAAAGACTGGAGATTCATTCATCGCGCCAGACTCAACGTGCTCCCCCTCAATGCCAACAAGAGCAGATTCTCCCACACAGATCCGACATGCCGCCATTGCACCCAACCGGAAACCCTGCCTCACGTTCTCTGCCACTGCCGACCGCTGATGACGCAGATGCGCGAACGTCATGACCTTATCGTGGACCGTATATCGAACGCAGTACGATTCGGCGACGTCACCACCGATCGTGCGGTGCAGAACTCCGGACTACGCCTTCGCCCGGACATCGTTGTAGAAGAACAGGACGACGTCCTGATCATCGATGTCACTTGTCCCTTTGACAACGACGACAACGCTCTGGCCGATGCAGCGCAAACCAAGCTCAATAAGTACGAACCTCTCAAACAACACTTCATTGGACTTGGCAAGCGCTGCGAAATCCACCCTTTCGTCATTGGAGCCCTGGGATCCTGGTACCGCCCGAACGAGCTACTTTGTACCCGACTCGGCATGACGCGACGCTACAAGAACCTTTTTCGCAAGTTGTGCTGCTCGGATGCAATCCGTGGATCTACCGATATCTACCGCCTCCACCTGGGTTGCGACTTGGCAACCCAGGATGCCCAGTAAACCATAATAGACATAAGATCCTATATCATATTGCGAACTTACCCGTAATTCGACAGAACACTTTATATATTTGTAAATAGTATATGTATATAGTTATGAGTTACTTTGGTGGAAACAAACAACAAGGGTGGGTTTCTTTCTGCTTTCACCTAATTCCTTCCAACATATCGTCTTCTCCTAATGCCGCTTACCTTTTTTTCCAATGTCACTTACTTCCTTACTTACCTTTTCTCCACCTTTTCAACTTACCTTTTACTTATCTGTTTTCCCTTCTTATTTTTTTATACTTAACTTAAATACTTTAATATAAGATATTGTAGCTATTAGTTTTATATGCATGAAATAATTACTGTATATATTGATTGTTGTAATTGGGCCCATCAATTTAAATAAACTACTGATAAGAACTCTGTTCTTATCAGCTTAATATCTGATATGTCGGGCAATGCCCGACTCTTATATTAAACTGATTTTTGGATATCGGCCATGGGATTGGAGCTTGCTTCGCCCTGGCCACGGGTTGTCTCGGTATTGCACTACCTCCGAGTTCGGCCCATTTCCCTTCGCGGAAGGGAAACACATTTACTTTAAACAAAAGAAAAAAAAAACAAACAAAACAGCCAGCAAATCAAATAGCTAAGCGAATTTATTTTGTCTATAACTAACTAACCGAGAAACGAACTGTTTAACATTTAACTAAATAACATACGTCTCTTTTCGACAGAGTCGGCGAAAGACGAAAAGACGTCGTCGTCGTCGGAAAGGAAGACAATAAAGGCCGTCAGACGGTAAGTTGCAAGTGCAAAAGTAGTGAAAAGTAAAGGGAGGGTGCAACCGTGTCGCACCGAGCGTACGTTCGCGTACAAAGTATGCTCGCCGTGCGTCGTTCGAGCATACTTACCTGACGCGAGAGGCACCTTGATCAGCTAGGAGGTCCTCTCAGGATGAGGCCCTTTCATTGCACTTCGACTGGGTTGACTCCTGCGATTACCCCTAACGTGGGTAACTCGAGCGTATAATTTCTGGTAGTGGGGACCTGCGTTCGCGCTCGTCCCCTTCGTTTCTCACGATGGGAGGAAGAAGCGGAGAAAAGAACAAATAAAATAGAACACAATAGAAGAGGGCCTTTCGTCCGTCAATTGTGTATGCCACGCTTTGGGACATATATAAATTCGTTGTTCGTTCGGGGTTAGGTTGCATGCTGCCAAATTTTTTACTGACCTATCCCAAAATGCATAGCGAGATGCAGGAGAAATTTATATCAGCTATTAGCAAGAATAAATTACTTGTATTTGACATAAATTACTTGTACTTAACAACGACGTAAACGGCCGGCGTGTGTGTATATTTTGACGGACGGCATATACATTAGGAAAATATACAAATTATAATATGTATCGTCGACGTTAACAGTAATGATATTGCATTGCGAACGTTTTTCTTACTTAGTCGTATGTTTGTTTAGCTTTTTATAGTAATTATTTCTATGTATCACTGACATTTAACGGCTCGTAGTGTAAAATTCGTTCATTGAGCTGCTTGTCTGCCGATTTCATGAAGCATGACCTTGTTGACATTACAGCACTTGCATACAATGCGAATCATTATCGCCCACAAGCACAAAGCGTTTGTTTTACAATGAGAAAGCACGTCTGCAGCAAGTTCGCGACAGACATCGCGTGCTTCCTACGTCATATGAAACGATCGCATTTCGCGGCATTACGCGCGAATTTTCAAACATGTTCTTCTTTACGAACAGGTGTACATTGGATTAGAAAGAACGCTTGACATGACGATTGTAGTAAAGGATGATTCCTTCGTTATCCGTACTGCTTGATTTTTCATTTGTTGCATGATTTCTACGAAAAGATACAATAGAACCGTGTGTTTCTCATGCAACTTGTAGAGTGAAAAATGGCGAAAGCTCTTCTTCTGTATCGCTTCTCGGCCTTTTGGCTAAGATCAAGTGTAGTATCTGTTGGACACGGTGACGAGTCGAGTTTTGCTGTTTCCGCGTCTGCGCGTTGGTTTGGTTCGCTATTCTGTCGGTTCGCCTTCATAATCGTGAGTTCGAATCTCAGTTGTACATATTTTCCTTTTTTCAATTTTTTAATTTTTGGTGTGTTTATTTTCTGGCAGTTCCCTAATAGGGGGCCTGTTTGGGGGTACCTGAACGGGAGGGGGACTTTCCTTAGGTTCTTGAAGTAAGGGTCTGGTTGGGGGGCGGTTTGGCCAAACCCCAACGGTGTTTAGATTCGCTCTTTTAGTCCTAAGGTTTATTATTATTATTAAGGTGTGTGGGCTTTCAGCCATTTTGCTTTTTTGTTTTTTTTCCCTCGAGTGTTATTTTGGCTTATCCTTGTAGTTAAAGCCAACTTTTATTCTCATTTTTTCTATATTATACATAGCTTCATTTTTCTGTGTGTATTCTTCGACTTTTGCTATTACATTCGAACGACCGAGCGATTTTCATCGCTGTTCTTTCGATCGTTCCTGTGACAGCTACTGAGTCAATTTGTTCGAGCTTCGTTTGACATCGAGCGACGTTGATCGATCTTACTTTTTCTCTCACTAAGCTTAGTGCATACACTCTCGCTTAGTTCCTTTATTCCATATCACTTGGAATAAACTGAGATAGCTTTCGAGCAAGTTTTCGTAGCCTTCGACTTTCTTGCTCGCTACGCTCTGACGCTTCGTAGCTTATTCGCCTTTTCAAAGTGCTAAGTTATAGCGTCCTTTCTCTGACGACAAACATGATCCCGTACAGTTCTCGTACGGTAGATCTTGTTCTCCACCCACTGGTGGAGTTAAAAAACTTAAAAACGCGTTCGGTCATCGACGAACTGCGATGGCAATGTAAAGACTTCGAAACCAACACCGAAGCTGTTGTTCACATTGCCCCCGATCGATTTAGAGTGACTTTCACGACGGCTAGGAAAATGCTAGCATTTTCCAACAACGACTGTCACATAGCGGGGCATCCCGTCGAAATTCGATCGCTATCACCCAATACTTGGGTAAATATTTCTCGCCTCTCATACGGCGTACCTGATGAGGCGATATCGAAGGCATTAGAGCCTTATGGCGTAATCAAGTCGATCTCCCAGGAGGCTTACAAGAAGATCTACACTGGGGTTCGCAACGTGTTTATGCAAATAACTGCCAACATTCCTGGCAGATTACGCATCGCAGGCCACTGGTGCGTGGTAAAGTACAAAGGCCAAAAGCAGGTGTGCTTTAAATGCCATGCACCAGGCCACGCGATGAGCGATTGCCCCAAACGACACACTGCGCATGCTCAGTCATCGCAGGCTGCCACCACAACCAAGAGGAGCGACAAAACTATACTTAACTCGCTACCTCTTGTCTCGTATGCTGCAGTTGTCAGTGGTTCGTCCGCCGACGACTCTGACGGCTACCTCACCGCAGGGGGAGATGTTCCCTCTCAAGACTCGGCCTCTTCTGAGATTCACGAGGAAGACAAGAGCATTTCTAATCGACCCTCACCTGCGGTTACATTGAAGAAATCGTCTTCTTCTACAACTGCTCCCCAAAGCACCGCTACAAACGTAGCCTCTTCGACAAACGAAGCAACTACATCTGCTCTTCCACAGCCAAAAAAATTAGTTCCCTCTCCTGCCATCAGCCCTCGCAAGGGCAAAGGTAAACGACGTAGATCTCCGTCCCGTTACGGAGAAAACTTTGTCTCCTTCCTCTTCTTCTCAATGTGAAGCTCCAGCTCCCAAAAGGATGCCTTGGAAGTTCCCACAAATGAGGAGGAGGCGACCAATCCCGATGATACGTCTGACTCAGACACCGAATCCTTGGCCGTGTCTGAGGGAACGACCATCGAGGATATTGCGGACATGGACTCGGCCCTACAGGATCTCCTTACAGAGAACTTCGACGAAACCTCTCACTCTCTGAGTGACTCGGCAGCACAAGCTGCATTAACCTTGTTCGATTTGGCTCATCTTCCTCTACCCGAGGACGATGAGAACTTTTAATTTGTGACAAACCCATTTTCACAATGGAGTCACCTCGTGCGGATAGCATAACAGCTATCACTTTAAACTGCCAGGGACTTCGCCAATCTTCTAAAAGAACAGTGTTGTTTTCCTGGCTACATTGTTTTAAACCAGATATCGTGTGCCTCCAAGAGACACACTCTATCTCCTCTTCCGAATTTGACGAATGGGTACGGATCGAGGGTGATCGTGGCAATAATCCCTCGGCCTACCGCGCTCTTTCATCTCCAGGCACCTGCCGTTCCCGAGGAGTGGCGATATTATTTCGCCCTTCTCTCACCATTCTTTCTTCCACCGCGGATGACGAAGGCCGATTGCAGATCGTCCAAATGTCTTTCCATTCCATCACTTTTCAGTTGGTCGGTCTGTATGGCCCTAATCAGAAGCGTGCTGGCACCTCTTTCTTCGCCTCCATTTTTCCGCAATTAGACGCTACTCTCCCCACTATCATCTGTGGCGACTTCAACACCGTGGTCGATGCCAACAACGACCGACGCGGATGTAATCCTTCTTCTTCTTGGGCATACAACTGGCCCCCTAGTCTCCAATCTCTAACGGAGGACATGGACCTACACGATATCTGGCGCTTACGACACCCTCGTGACCGTGCATATACATGGTCCCGACCTGGCAACCAACAAGCGTCGAGACTGGACATGTTCTGGCTATCATCGTCCTTGATCGCCTCCGTGAGTGAAGTGGGTATTTACCCATACTTCCGGAGCGATCATCGCTATGTCTTTCTTCGCTTTTCCTTGCCTTCAGCTCCTAAACGCGGCCGAGGGTGTTGGAAGTTCAACTCGTCCTTGCTGAAGGATCCCGAGTATGTCTCGCAAATTCGACACTTCTGGAAAGAATGGCGTGAAGAGCAGTCCCATTACCCCTCCTTGACGATCTGGTGGGATGCCGGCAAGCAGCTTTTGAGAGAATTCACTCAGGATTTCTCCCGAAATCGTGCAGCCGAACGTCGCT